CCTCCCTCTCCCCCCTCCCTTTCTTCCATTCTTCCTTTCCCTCTCCCTTTCTTTCATTCTTTCTCCCTCCCCCCCCTCTTTCACTTCTCCCTCTCCCTCCCTCAAAAATGTGTGATGCCCATGTTCAGTCACCTCTTGCATGGCAGAGCTGATCGAAGTTGTGTGTGCAAAACAGCTGTTCAGTTGTTTGATCCTAGCTGCATTCATAGAGGAAACAGCACCTCTAAAGTAGGGTTAAAGCCTCTTCTTAGCTTCACTTCCTCCTTATTTTGTAAACTAATGCTAGACCTTACAGCTTAAAAAGTGGATTTCTAATTTCTCAGATCCCCAGATTATAGCTTGTATGGTGCAAGGAAATATGAGATTTTTTAGGTTATAGATGATTGAGGATAATTTTTTCACTAAAAAATGCCTAGCCATATGAAGTTTTATCATACCAAGAACAGTGAAGACAGGCTTTATATTTGACTGCAGGAATACTTAAGTTGGTATTCAGTTGCATAGTTCAAGTATGCTTATTCATATGCACTATAATTGAGTGGGGCTCATGCATACTTCCCTATATGTCTATCATGTTTCCATGTGTTGATACCCTCTGATGTTATGTTAATTAGACTTGTTTGGGTTCAGCTGAATACTTAATTAGATTAACGAGTTATTGACAAAATCATCTTATATATATATAGACCTCGACAGAATTGTGATTTTGTATATAAAGTGAATGTAATTTCTGTAAAACTGCTTTGACACAAAACAACAAGTAACAGCTGTTGTTTGTCTGTACAGGCAAAAAGGCAATGAAAATCAAGAAACTTGTGCCAACAAACTCTCCACAGTTCCTCCTCTTGAATCATGACAGTGGTGTCTAGTGAGGGCTGTAAGTTCTTCACAATCCCCTGGTAGCATTAAGGAATGATGAACAGTTATAGCAACTTGTGGCACCATGTGAAAAGTTGCAATTGGAAGTTTGGGACAAGGCCCTGGCTCAAGTGGTGGCAACTCTAAATTGTGGCACTTGTTTGTTTGAGCAGTAGTTACCTCCCCTGGCAGCTGCAGTTGCCAAATGCCCTCATGAAAAATAGTTATTTACATAAAATTGCCATGATTGCTTTATCTAAATTCAGTATATAAATAATACTTTTTAGAAAAGGTTATGGTTTAATGGTAAATCAGAAATATCCATGTATGGAATACCCTTATACATTGTCTTTTAGAATGAGAAAAGGCATTTGCTACTGATTTTTAAAACTTTAAACCCATTTAATTATATTGCTGGTACATTTAATTCAGATAATTTATATACTTTATAACCATGAAAACAAACTTAATGTAGGATGAAACTTCATTCCATCCCTATTAACTTTATTGATATATTTGGTCAAAATTGATAACTACCCAGATCATGGAGTTTTGTTAGAGACAAAAAACAAAAATATAGTGCTAAAACAGTAATAGAACATTATGAAAATTATATATTTGTAGTATGAACCTGTTGGATTTGGGTGCCTTGCTACCTGTACGTGACCTAAAATCCAGGCTTACCTGAGCTTCAAATCTTATGGTTTTGGCATTTAGGCCTGTCCCACATCTATATTTGTATATATCAAGACTCCTACCTTTCCCTTTTCAATGTTGTTATCTCTTTTTCTGCATAAGTGTTTTTTGCTTGTTTTGCCATTTTACAAGGTCTATATTAGTCATTTGATATGCTATATCAAGATGGTAATAAACTTTTCCATATCATTTATTAAGTAGCCTGAAACTCTTTACAGATAGAATAACAATTAGTAACATTTTGTTATTTGTATATTTTTTTATATATTTTCATATTCCATTTCTCTAACATAACCAGCACTACTGGCCCTGATTGGTAGGAACAGAATCCTGGTATGTATTGTTGTTGTTTTTGTTGTTGTTTTGAGCCAATGCTCTTCCAGAACATGACTCATGAAAGGTGCATTCCACCCTCATTTACTGGTGGAAATGATGCAAAAGCCCCTACCTAAATGCCCACTGAGTCTAAACTTCCTCCAAGAGCTTTTGGCATTAATTGCAAGTCTAACAAAACTCCATGATCCTCCCAGCTTAAAGTGATATTTTTCATGACGGCACATTCCCGTCACCCCAGTGCTTGGCCAAATTTTTCCATGACAGCATATTCCTGTCACCAGGCCATTTTTTTTTATGACCTGATAGTCATGTCTTCGGGGATCCAACAGGTTAATCCTTTAGGTAACCATGAACCCCTTTCAAGTAAATAATTAAATTGTATTTTGATGGTGTCATCTGACTGCCCAGCTGATGAGTAATATGATGTTAAATTAAAACAAAAACTGTAGCTGCTCACTTGAGATGCCAGTTACAACTGCATTCATATTTCAACAATCCTGAACAATAACACATGATTAGCAATATATTAGCCTGAATTTATTCTGAAATACGAAAATTAAAAAAGAGAACTTGTGTTCTTATGAGGAAAGAATATGCAGCACAGGTGTTAAGGTCCTGAAAATAAAGAAGGATATATATAGTTGTGTATTTTAACCCAATACTACCAGGCAAATGTAATGTTTACTGTAGTATTGTTTTGTGGAATGTCTCTGGACATAGATGGCTCCACAAGTGCTTAGCCACTGAGTAGTCAATTAGTCGACCTCGTGACCAACCGGATTTCACTTTTCCGTGAGTTTTTCTGGAAACAATTTTTTTTCTTGTGCTGTCAGTATTGATGCTGTTATTATTATTATGGACATTATGATTATTTGACAGTTATTAACATTACTAACACCAATATAAGATAATAGAAATTAATACCAGAAATGCAGGAAAAGGCTAAACACAGAAGATAGGTACCATTAGTACAGTGGTTCTTAACATTTTTACTACAAAACCCCCTTTAGGAATTTGTCCTTCCCTCCACACACTCGTTTCATCTGCAAATAGATTCCCTCCCAGATCTTAAAGAAAGTAAAGAAAAATTAAATATGGTATTAGTTTTTTTTTTATAAGTATGAATTAAATGCAATATGGTTAAACTTCCCATTATTTAACCATGCTTTCATTAACAAAGCTAATGAAAGAAATTTTTTTTTCCCGAGAGCTCATACCCCCCAAGTTAAGAATCACTGCACTAGTTATTGGCACATTAATCACTAAGTACTTGTGGAGCCATCTCTGTGTAAAGAAAAACTAAACTCACAGTTGTCATGGCATTTACGTGCATTCCCTGGTGGCATCAGAATTGATCTGTTGTTGCTGAGGGGGTGATGTACATAGAAGTCGAATCCATTGTGGTTTTAGTTTGTATATTTTTACATGTAGGTAGCTCCAGAAGTGGTCAATCATACGAGTCAGTTAGGCATGCGTAATCTAACCCATTCATAATAATGTTTTGATTATTATCATGTTAATAACATTATAGGAATCATAAAGTCACTGATGATAATGACTAGTAGCGATGATAACAGCATCAAGAAGAAGAAAAATCAAGAAATGGAGTAATCAGGAGCCATTTGACCTCCTGTGATGTGGCTCTTTTGAAGCCATTCATGCAAAAAACAAAAAAAAAACAAAAAAAACAGAACAAACACAGCAAAGCACATACCCATTCCCAATGGGTTGATGGACCTCAGCTATACTTTGTCTGAGACCCATTGCAGCATGATTTCTTACAAACGAAAGACAGCAGCTACACATTTATGAAACTTTATTCTGAAGATTACTTT